TGGGGCCTCCTCTACTAACACTGTAAACGAAAATATATCCGAAGTAAGAGTTGTATTAAGGTATGTGTGTGTGTGTGTGTGTGTGTGTGTGTGTGTGTGTGTGAGTGAGCTTTATCCCTCACCCCCTGCCTGGTGGTGAGGGTGTGGGCTGCCTCTAACAGCTGTTGGGAGGGGGAGAGGGGGAACTACTGCGTCACTTGTTAGGATTTATGGATTAAAACATAGATTACTTTATACTGTAACCCTCGGTGGGAGAGCAGTGCCAAGGATGACGCAACTCAAACACAAGGATGACGCAACGCAAACACAAGGATGACGCAACACAAACACAAGGATGACGCAACACAAACATAGGGATGAGGCAATTCAAGCACAAGGATGACGCAACTCAAGCACAAGGATGACGCAACTCAAACACAAGGATGACGCAACGCAAACACAAGGATGACGCAACACAAACACAAGGATGACGCAACACAAACATAGGGATGAGGCAATTCAAGCACAAGGATGACGCAACTCAAGCACAAGGATGACGCAACTCAAACACAAGGATGACGCAACTCAAACTAACTATTATTGCTGTTGTGTCTTACTGTTAGTAGTGAAGACAAATATGGGTCACAACACTCATATATTGGTTAGGATTCCGATGATAACACAACCAAGGGAGATCGATGGGAGGTAGTATTAAACATCTAAGTATATAATAAGGTTTTAAAGTCATAATTCCTCTTCTCGTGAAATAAGAAAATGACTTTTATACCTCAAGACTATCTGACCAAAACAATTACCAAGACATTGTTAAGAATCTAAATGTGTTTTGTTAGACTGAAGAGGAACCAGAGTATGGTGGTTTAACTCTTTGAGGATGATGGTTTAACTCTTTGAGGATGATGGTTTAACTCTTTGAGGATGATGGTTTAACTCTTTGAGGATGATGGTTTAACTCTTTGAGGATGATGGTTTAACTCTTTGAGGATGGTGGTTTAACTCTTTGAGGATGATGGTTTAACTCTATGAGGATGATGGTTTAACTCTTTGAAGATGATGGTTTAACTCTTTGAGGATGATGGTTTAACTCTTTGAGGATGATGGTTTAACTCTATGAGGATGATGGTTTAACTCTTTGAAGATGATGGTTTAACTCTATGAGGATGATGGTTTAAACCTTTGACGACAATGGTTTAACCCCCTTGATAAGAATGATTTCAATTATAGTCTTTTAAAGGTTATAATAAGACTAGAGAAGCTACCAATTTACTGATCTTAGACGTCACGAAACTTTTAACCTAACCTAACCTAACCTAACCTTTCACCCTCTTCCTACACTGTTTACACTGAAGAATAACACAATAATTACACCTAATGACCGATTGTCTGTCTGCTTTAGAACCAAAACATACCTGTATATCCTAAGTTAATTAACCTGTTGATGGGTTCCTCTATAGTCGTTATCCTTCAACAGGTGAGTAATAAATATAGGTGTGAGTTATTTATGGTGAAACATTATTTACCAAGACACTAAGCAGGGGGGTATGTCTAATAAATCTGTCATATACTACAGTTGTTATATTAAAAGACCATTTATCTCTCTCTCTCTCTCTCTGGTGGAAATATTAAGCAAGACTTTTGACAATGTGCTTTGGTTGACTTACCTTGTAGTGATGATCTTTACTATAGCAAGAGAGTTTATCACTTGAGATTTATCTAAGAGGGTGCATGGTTAGATCATGTCGTCACTTTAGTAGTTAAAAGTATAGCTTATCATTCGTTTTAAATAGTTAATGAATGTGAAATGTTCAGTTAAATGTAAGAAGTTTTAATGTGTAGTAATGTCTTGGTTTTTATGTTAATCCTTAAGAATAATTTTTTTGGGGAGACGTCCAATGTTCAAGGATTCACTGCTTATATAATGCCTATTTATTTCATTCCAATAGACACACTTTTAACATCTTCTCTACCTACACACACACACACACACACACACACACACACACACACACACACACACACACACACACACACACACACACACACAGGTTCCTCCCTAAAAAAAAAAAACACGTCATCTTGCCATCTCTAATCTCTGTTATAACTCGTAGATGCTTTTAATTCACATCACATTAAGAGCTTAGTAACGAGGACTCTTAGCAGCTGTTTAATTATCTCTCAAGAGTATACAGAGTGAGTTTTTTGTCCTGTTGTTTGTGGTGTGTGACGAGGGCATATAATACCTCTTATCTCTCTATGTTATACGCGGGTGACCTAGATAGTGTGAGTAGAGAGGTGTGTCAGGGAGGGGTGGTGTGTCAGGGAGGGGAGGTGTGTCAGGGAGGGGTGGTGTGTCAGGGAGGGGTGGTGTGTCAGGGAGGGGTGGTGTGTCAGGAGGGGTGGTGTGTCAGGGAGGGAGGTGTGTCAGGGAGGGGTGTGGTGTGTCAGGGAGGTGGTGTGTCAGGGGAGGGGGTGGAGTGTGTCAGAAAGGAGGGTGGTGTATTCAGGGAGGGCCTGTCAGGGGAGGGGTGGTGTGTCAGGAGGAGGTGTGTCAGGGAGGTGGTGTGTATCAGGTAGGGAGGTGTGTCAGGGAGGGTGGTGTGTCAGGGAGGGGTGGTGTGTCAGGGGAGGGTGGTGTGTCAGGGAGGAGGTGTGTCAGGGGGGTGTGGT